GTTTACCAGTGACACAAGTTCCAGGGCTACTGGTTGCAGCTTATTCGAGGGTAACATCACCTAAAACGATTTTAGTAATTTAAAAGCACTTTTTAAACCAGTTTAATCAAATTAGACAAGTTTGGGCCAAGCAAGTTTAACATTTCATTTGAAGTCGGTGTCAATAAAATTATCATGCATGGCCCAAAGAATAATATTGATGCTAGCACTTCATAACGTACTCTTGATTTAAAAAGGGAAAATTATGTTTCAGTCCTTAGCTTCCGAAATTCATTGACTCAAACTTTATTAATTTCAATTTTTTTATCCAACTTCTTTGACTTTTTTCGCGTCAGACTTTTATAATAAATATTGTACACATCAACAATTTTAATTTGGTATTAGATTTTTATCAGAAATGGTCACTGAAATTGACTTATTCCATCAACATACATCTTGTTTGGATATTCTTTTAAAATGACTCAAAACATTTTTGGTGCAAATAATTTTAGAAATAATTCTTAGTAAAAATGTTAATAAATCCTAAAAAAACACTTAAAGTACTTTATGGAAGAAGCACATAACTGATGTTTCTTGTAGAAAGCCCTTAAAGTGCTTTTGAAACCCAAAAACATTTTCTCTAAAAGTGTTTTCAATCATTTTAAAAGCACATCTAAACGAGCCCATAGTCCCTGAAATTGAAAATCGATTAATGTAGTCCCTGAAAATGTGTGTCTCAAATCAATGGGGGTGAAATCCATTTAAATTCTAGCACATAACTAGGTTCCACAAATCTAATTAAACATTACTATGTGAATTAAAAATATTTAAATAATAGAAAACAATTTTTAGTTGTATATAATTAAAATTAAAAAAAAAAAGAAAAAAAAAGAGAAGAAGAAGATTAAGTAAATGAATAAATTGGGATTCAAGCTTCAAGCTCATTGTTTGTGCTAGGTTTGACTGAAATGGAAAAATATTATTTATTTATTTTTCCATAATTTCTAATGGTGTTGAATTGTGTAGCTTCAAATTGGCTTGGTTTGGAGTTGTTCGCTGGTTTGGGAAGTGAGTTTTTGGAATATCATGTTTTCCAAAACTGTTTTTCCTTTCCCGTTCTCTTATTTTATTTATTTATTTTTTTTTTTGAGAAACTGGGAATATCATTACCAGGGCTGAAGCCAAAAGAAACAGAAGGCCAAGAATGACTAACAAGAACTACACTGAGAAGAAGGTAGAAAACGCAGACTTGGAACAAGCCCCAAGTCACCTTAATCTCATCCTAACAGAAATCTAAAGAGGAGGGCAAGGGAGGCCATCCTTGTTTAGCACTCGAACAAATGAAAATGGGGGTCTTACGACCCAGAGAATGTCGCCTATCTCCGCACCCTCATGCGACGCCACAAAGTCAGCCACTGCATTGCAGGTTCTCGACACCCAAGCCCAACTACAAGATCTGAAAGTCGTACCCGCTTCACAAATTTCCAACAGAATCAGGAAAACCTCCTAATTACCCTGCTCAATGTTCCCATTTAACCATGAAATGAGGTTCCATGAATCCGATTCAACAACAACATCCTCATAGCCCCATCTCAAAGTAGTCATGCATCCCTCCAAAATCCCTAAAGCCTCCGCCATTAACACAGAGACTGTGCGGATCTGCTTCCTACACACCGCCAAGCATTAACACGTCGAGTTCTTAATAACCACCCTAATATGACCACCTCCATCAACACCATGTCAGCTAGCATCCACATAGGGTTAACAGACATCTCAGCTGTCGAGAATTACATTGTGCCCCTGTTCGAATTAACCTCATTGAAAGAAGACATCGCCATTTAAGCAACAAGCTTCTAGGGGAAGGAAGTTTAGAATTGAAAACCATATCACACCTTACCTTCCAAACTGACAAACACACAGAAGCAATATAGAACAAAGCCTTCAACTTATCCTCAATATGCCCCGAGAGAGAAGACCACATTCCATCAAGCCACGTTGCAAAATAAATTATTGCAGCCTTATCAATCCTCAAACCCAAAATACCTCCAAACCAAACTCTATCCACCTATGGGCATAGAAGCAAAACATGTTCAATAGATTCCTCCTGAGATTGACAAATGGGACATAAAGGATTAGGAGCGAACCTACGTTTAAACATATTCAATTTTGTGGCAATAGGCCCACTTACTGCTCTCTACATAAAGTGCTTGATTTTTGTTGGGGGGGTGGGGAAGACAAAAACCATAACCTCTTCCAAACACCCGACTTGACCACCACGGAAGAAGAGGGCCGCGAAACACAACATCAACAATTCAAATCGAAGAGTCGGTGATATCCCGATTTAACTGTGAATCTTCCTCTACGTTTATGCAGCCAGATCAAACGGTCATTTTGCTCGGGGTTTCCAATAGAAACATCAAGTACTGCCTTTCTATCCCTCTCAACCACCCTACCTTCAACCTCATCCTCTAACCACGATCTAGTATGATAGTTGATTAAAGATGTCACCAAAAAATTTGGGTCAGCCACCATTCCAGGGGCCGGATTGGGACGTCCCCCTCCAAATCAGGGATCCATCTGTCCACCCAAACACAAACCTGATTGCCATTCATGATTTGCCAATGTGAATTCAAAGCAATAACATCTCTATCAGCCAGGATACTAGACAACCCCCAAAAAGCCCTTCCACCTTTCTTGGCTTCGAGGAAAGAGCAATTAGGATAATACCTCCCTTTCAAAACTCAAGCCCATAAAGAATCAGGCTCCATTAATAAGCGCCACCAAGGTTTCGCCAATAAAGAAAGATTAAATGCCTTGAGGTCACAAAAACCCATCCCCCCTCTTGCTTTGGCATTCCCAAAACTTGCCTACTAACCCAATGAATTTTTCACTCACCGGCTCTTTGGTCCCACAAAAAATTTGTGACCGCATCATCCATTTCATTGCAAAAAATTGTAGGGAAACAGAAAATATGCATTGGGCAAGCAGGGATAGCTTGGGTAACCGCCTTAATAAGCACTTCGCGACCTACTTGAGAAAGAAAATTGTGCTTCCACCCTTGAATTTTAGCTAGGACTTTATCCTTAACATAAGCTAGAGCCTCCCTTTTCGATTTTCCTCAAACCGTAGGAATGCCCAGATAGCTCCCTGGGTCATCAACTTGCCTCATTTCGAATGACAATCGGACATTTGCCCCAAAGAAGATTGAAGATTTTTGTAAATTCACCTCCTACCCCAATGCCCTACAAAAAGCATTTAGTAGGTCATCAAAAAGTTTAATTTGGTGTCCATTCATTACTTATACATATCCTTAAAGACTCGAAAATATCATTATTTTTTTATTCTTATATTGACATGGTTAGTAAATAAGAAAAAACGCCTCACAATTTATACCAAAACACTTTAAAAGTTCAGATGGAAGACAAAACTCATAATCTATCTACTTTTAAGCCTGAAGTTTTTTGGTTTCCTTCTCTCGACACAGTGGCACTTGCCAAGTTGTGGGTTGAGGGAACTTGTGGCTTCAATTAAAGCTCATGGTTGCTGATTGAGGCTGGGATTGCAGTTTGAAATTTGGAATCAAATTCCCAAAAACATGGGTGAAAACCCCAATCCGATGAGACCCCCATCGCCGCCAAAAAGCCTCCCCTTTCAATGTACGTGAAGACGCTGTCGGGTTCGCTCGAAGGCATCATGGAGGTCGCGAGTCATGGTCGGTCCTAAGTTTTTTGAGGCACTGGACGACACTGAAAAATATGCCCCAACATAACTTCACATAAAATAATTATCTTGGTATTCATAGGTTGTACATCAAATATTAAAGAAAAGAGACCTTTTCACATTATGACTTTTTTGACAAATGATAGGATAACTTACACTAAACTCATCAGAAATATGGTGAAGGAATTCAAAAACAAGTCCTTGAGTGACAAGCTGAAAACTTTTAACTAACTAATCTACAAGCTACTTGCACATTACAAAACCTTTGAAATGAATTTTTCATATTTAAGATCTCTAATTTCTATATGTAAGCAACAAATGAAAACAACAAATTGCTACTACCAAAGGGCATATGGTAATTCAACTATGTTTTTGTTTTTCGAGCGCTCATGAAAAGTTGCAGTTCATTACAAATATATAAACTTATAAGGGAAAAATTATACAAAGAAGTGTAGGATGATATTTTTGGATTATCAATAACAAAACATTTTTCAATAAAAAGATAAGGACAACAATTTATTACTTAACCATGAAAAAATTATCAATAGATACAAAAAAAACCCAAATTTATATTTAGACAACTTGAACATGATTTTGCGAGTAAATTCAAATTGAAAACAAAAAACCACTACTGAAAATGCCACATTTAATAACCTAATTAATGTTTGTTTGTTATTTAAAGTAGACATGAAAAAAAAAAAAAATAGGAAATTACCCATTTATGTTGAGAGAGGGAATTGAACCTGGGTGAGCATGGAAACATAAACCAAATAAAACCCCCCTGCCATCGAAAATATATTGCTATTTAAAAAGAGCGTTTACTATATATGAAGAATAAAACAAAACCTTATACATATATGTACCAACTTAATTTTTTTTTGGTGCCCCTCGTGTTTTTGGACCCCAAGCGGTCGCCCTGATGGCACTGAGCTAGGGCCGGCCCTGCCACAAGTCTTCAACCCATCGATGTCATCAAGACCCGGTTCCAGCACGATCACACCGGCACCTACAAGCGAATTGTCCACTGCGGTTACATGTGCGACGTGACGGGGTGGGGCTGTAGTGGTTACTTGGCTGGGAGAGGAAGAAGGAGAACTATTCATCTGCTTCTTCTTCTTTCTTTTTTCTTTTTAAGTTTTTAATTATATAAAACTAAAAATGGTCTAAATATTAAAATACTAATCGTTGTGAGATGAATTAAAGACGACAAACGCAAATAATACAACAGCGCGTGCAGTGTAAAAACAGGCATACTGACTGATTCCAACAAGTTAAGATGATGCGCAAAGGCTTTTTTATTCGAGCACAAGCGCGGAGAACGTTCCAAAGCAAATAAAAAATCTGTCTTTCCCTTCTCCTTTCACTCGGCCTCCTTTTTGCGCGATCTCATTTACATAATTTCAATCCATTAATTCCATCAGTCGTCTGCTATATATATAATGATTGAAACGTACGTATCGGGCAACATATATAGAAACCTGAACAACTAGCTAGCTTTGAGCTTTCTTTATTTGGGTAGCTGGAAGTAGTTTTTGTAGGGTTAGGGCAGAGGGAGCTGGAGAGGCAGATGCAATGGAGGATTTACCACCTGGATATAGATTCTACCCAACAGAGGAAGAGTTGATTTCGTTTTACTTGCGCAACAAACTTGACGGGAGGAGTGGGAACTTGAACCCAGTTCTAGACCGAATCATACCCGTTGTTTACATTTACGAGTTTAATCCATGGGAACTCCCACGTAATTCGACATCTCTCTCTCTCTCTCTCTCTCTCTCTCTCTCCCCCTCCCCCCTTTTAATAATTACTTGTTGGATTTATGCTAGCTTCTGGCTTGCTTAACCATGGAGTTTACACCAAATTATAGCTAGTGTTTGCTTTTCATCACTTTCCCTACGACCATGCCAGTTTTAGGATAATGAATGTTATATGTGTTTGTTTAGAACACTAATTTACAGCATCGGTACATTGTTGATATTCATTGAATATAATATGGACATAAATTTAACGACAACGGTAGTTTTCGCACCGGTTATTTATCAATAATCACTACCCTAACTGATTTCAATTTCCTTTTCTTTTTGGTATGTGTGTGTGTGTGTGTGTGTGTATGCAGATGCAGTACTTCAACTTATATATATTTCGATATCATATCATTCTTGAATTAGTTAGTTTACACTTTAATTAATTAATTAGGTTTATAATGAACTATTTAACAGAGGTTTCGGGAGAGGTGAGCCATGGAGATTCAGAGCAGTGGTTCTTTTTCATCCCAAGACAAGAGAGTGAAGCTCGAGGAGGGAGACCGAGACGACTCACAACAACTGGGTATTGGAAAGCAACAGGATCTCCAAGCATTGTTTACTCTTCCAATTCCAATTACAATCATGCCATAGGGCACAAAAGAACCATGGGTTTCTACACTGGCAGAGCTCCACATGGAAAGAAAACCGAGTGGATGATGACTGAATACAAAGCCATCGAAGTTCATGCAGATCATAATAATCAACTATCAATGACAGCTTCTTCATCAAACACTAGTACTAGTACTCCTCCTGCTCCCACGGTCAGTATACGTGCTAATTAATTTCTTATCTCAAAAGTAACATCCATGTTTTAAAACTTCACAAAACTTGAAATACATCTATTAGAGAGGCTGTCAACAAGCTTGTCCAAATAGAATTATTGTTTTCTGAAACTTCATAAATTCAACTGGAATTATCTACGTGTATTTGTGAGACAACTATCTAGTTTGCAACCTGATAACATAATTGGAGAACTATTCCGATTTATAGTATAATGACATAATTACCTGATAACATAATTGGAGAACTCTTCGGATTTATAGTATAATGACAGAATTAATTAATCAAGTTGCTCTGTGTGTGTATGTATATATATAACATATGGTTTTGAGAAATTACAAGTGATATATCCCACAAATAATATAAATTGGGCGCACAAAAAGACATTTAATCACTTTATAGAAGGTACACCAGCAAAACTGAACATGTTAGTGGTGCCAATAGCTAAACATAACAAGTTAACAACAAATGAAACCATATGACAGGACCACACTGTTTTTAAGCGACTTAATTGATGTAGTACGGCATTGATCAGTTTTAGTGCAGTTAATTATATGCATCTAAACCCATTTAACTAAACAAACTACATAATAACTAATATTATTAAATATTATGTTGATATATATTTTGGCATGCATACAAGCAGTTAAGGGAAAAATTCAGCTTATGCCGAGTGTACAAGAAATCGAAATGCCTTAGGGCATTTGACAGACGACCTCCAGGGATTGAGATCACAAGAAACCCTACCTTAATCATTCAAGCAGCTCCTGCTCAGGGTGCAAATCATCTGGATCAAGGGCTGACAACGTCAAATAGGAATCCTCATAATATTGGAGATAGAACAAACTTAAGCTCACTGGACAGTTCATCCTCAGGAGACCATGGCTCTCAATCCTCTCAACCAGAACAAAGTTGGACTTTGCCAATGGCCGTTGATGATGAAGCTATTTGGGAATGGGACGAATTAATGGATAATTGGCTCCATTGGTTTTAAGGGGTGGACAAGATGAAATTGAAGAAAAGATTACGTTTCCACAAATGAAATGTTTAGCTACTAGGAAAATGGATTAATGCAGGTGGAATCATTTGTAGGGTTTAACCGTTCTAACGTAAAGTTTGTGCTACAATTTGGAAAAGAAAGCCAAATTCATATTGTACTAAACTTGCCCTCACAAGTCTAGCCTATCTTGATCTCTTTTGCTTCGTTTGAAACAAAAACCAGTAAGTTCTTGTCTAATGTGTTTCATATGTATTATGTACGTTTCTTGGACTATTTTGTATAACCTTGAAAGTTTGCAGAAGTAACTAATAGAATTTATCACTTTGCTTACATATATAATAGTTATGTGTTGGTAATATTAAAATGATGAGAATTGTTATGATTGGAATCCAACTGATACAAGTATTTAACCATATTAACTTTTATTTCAAGTGTGCAAAAATGATATTTTTTTTATAAGCAAAAGTTTGGTCAAATTCTATTTTTGAAGTGAATTTTCCTTTTTTACATTTTTGTTTTTTTGTTTTTTAATTTGCGTACACTCTTATGTGTGTGTGCGTGTGCTTTTTTTTTTTTTTTTTTTTTTTTTTGCTTTTAAATTGATTAAATGAAAAGAGAAAATAAGAGTGTGAAAATCATTATACTTTATTTATCTAGCAACACGTCAAACTCTTTTGCATGAGTTATTCCTATATTGATAACAGTAAGTTCCAATCACCAACAATATCCAAATGGTACTTTTACTAATGGCGGAAAACAATCAAGTCCATATATTCTGGTGCGAGTTTGATTCCCACCAATTTTCTTTCCCTATCAACTAACTTCTTAACCCAGTAATGCTATTGCTCTAATAAAAAAAATATATCAATAGTATGTATGACATGTATGGTTAAAAAAATGTTAGGAATTGTGCATGAGATATTTGAACCTATAACCCTTTCACCAAGAAGAGAGGGGGGGGGGGCGGTGGGTGTATTGTATATAGAGTTTGATGGATTTTGCTTCTGAAATCTAGGTGTATTCAATATAAACTTTTAAGAAATTAACAAAAGTCATCATGTATTGATAAAGACTTTTTATGACGTTTGAAATGTCTATGAAATTCTCTTGTGGTATTCAATTATGATTTTTGTGAGTTTGCAAAAATTCAGGTGTATTCAAAATTTCATTGATTTTAAGGGATTTTAAAAATTCATGGATTTTGATGGACTTTTTGTGTTTTTATGATAAATATTTTGTCATATCAGATCCAACATCTTCTCCCAAAATTTTGATAGATTTCATTGTTTTTCAATTATCTAGTGATAAACTACAACACCCACATAATGCAATGACTATTACACCACTATGTCACTAGCATCATCTTACCATCACTACTATGAAAGTACCTATTAGTGTCGTTTTAAAAGACAACAAGAAAAGCTAGGTTCTGGCAAATATTTGGAAAAATCCAATAGGAAATGGCTGCAATGGCATATAAGAGAAGCAAAAAAATTGCTAGCATCAGGAAAATACTTTTTCTGTCAATTAGGACTGTAAAGCCACCAAGAAAAGAAAAGCATCTTGATTTTTTTTTTTTAAGTCAGTAGCGTTGGATAGAAGAACATTAATTCCACTTCACTATTTGTGTCGGATAATAATGTCTAGCGTCGATTATATCCGACATTTATAGTTTATATCGGTTGTAAGCGACAATATTGCTTTTTCACCCAACATAATATAAACAAGTTGTCAGAAACGTCTTATCTGACAGTATATTGCATAAAATCACCACCGGTCTCCAACACATTAAGCCACTTTTGTAGTAGTGCATGACCACTCTTCCACCCCCACAACCACCATCATCACCATTGCCGTCACAACCGTCACTACCATGAGCATCATCACCAACCCTACTATGACCACCATTGACACCACAATCACCATGACCGCCAACTCTATCGCTGTCATCACCACCGCCCTTATCCTTACTCCTTGACCACCCCCAACAACACCCTACCACTTCAAATAGCATCCCAACTATTATCGTCACCACTAAAGACACCAACTTACTATCACCATCTTGTTGACGATCACCACGTGACACTTCCACCACTATCATTGCCACCATCACCTCATAATACCACTTTGTCATGGTCATCATCACAATTTCAATAGCAAAAACTTAAAAATGATAATGCTTATTAATAAATTGGATCATTAAAAAGTCCATGACAATTCATAAATTGGTCATTAAAAAGTCTAAAATTTTATAAGTCTATCATTTAGCTCATTTCTTTTCCACACAAATATATCATTAAAAGTCTAAGAACTTTTATGGAGTTTATAATAGTATGTAAAAATCTACTTAAAATGTGCAAGACTATCACATAAAAACACTCAACAAAAATCCATATAAATCTGAATACACCACAACCCTAAGAATCACTAAACCGTATATATATTCATTGACATTATGAATATTATTGAAATTAAGTCTAGATAAAAATTATTGAAATAAAAGTATGAGTGCAAAATGTATATAAGTAGATTGCATGCAAACTGTACTTGTTTTCCTTCCTTTTAAAAGATCAGGGCGATGTTATTAATTAGCACTCCAAAATAATTACAATTTATAACAAGTTTAATATGACTTTTGTAGCATATTGCCATTGTTTAAAAGCGATTATGCATGATTAAGTTTTTCTATATTGAGGGCCATTGTTTTCCTTCCTTTTAAAAGATCAGGGCGATGTTATTAATTAGCACTCCAAAATAATTATAATTTATAACAAGTTTAATATGACTTTTGTAGCATATTGCCATTGTTTAAAAGCGATTATGCATGATTAAGTTTTTCTATATTGAGGTTAATTGTAATTTTCAAATGCAGATATGCTGTTTCTATCTAATGTCTATGCTATAAAAAAAGTTATGAAAAGTGGCGCCGCCACTTTATGGAATGTCTGATGTCTATACTATGTGAACAATACAAAGATTGGTTAAACCATTAAACGATACCACTAACAAAACCACAGGCAATACCAAAACAAGAAAAGGATAAATTTAGGGATAGTTTGGTATAAGTGTGCTTTAAAAAAAAACTATTTGGCTTGTATTGAGAGAATAAACCGCTATAATATAAAGTTATTAAGTGTTTGGTGAACTTTTTCCTATAAAGTACTTTTAACAAAAAAAAATAATAATAAATGTCTTAGTGTTTGGTAATATTTTATATAAATTACTGTGAATATGTAAAATGACTAAAAATATATGATATTTAATGTGATATAATTATTGTCAAAAGGAAACAGCACAAGGGCAATTATTGTAATTTTATAAAATATGTGGGAGTATACTTGTCATTAAAAAAATTTATTAAATAGACATTGATTACTATACTTTTGAAAAAAAAAAACACTTTTTTAGAAGTAGATAGAAGAGGTGCTTCTGCTTTTCTGTATTTTATTATCGTCATTGAAAGCAACATTTTGAAAATGGTTTTTTATTTTTTTATTTCTTTTTATCAAATACGTTCCAAATTTTTTAATAAGTTGTTGTTATTATAAAATTTCATATATGCCAAACCAGCCTTGAGACTATCTTTTTCTCTGAGTATGACTCTCTCATCTTCCCTCTTATTTGAACAGTTATGATTAAATCACGTCAACATCTTATATTAAATTTTTATAAAAAAAAAGACAAAATAAAGAATGTGAAAAGAAAGTATGAAAGGGAATGAAAAGAAAAGGAAATATAATCTTAGTCCATTTTTCCCTTCTTTTGTTTATCACAAAAGACGCGTTGACAGAAATATAACAGCAGGAAAGTGAGCAAGACGGACCCATATTTAAACTTGTATACAATACAAGAAGCACGCATGCTTTTGTTTTTACCTTTTTCTCACCGACTTTTGTTAATTTCTTCCTTGTCGGCTATAGAATTGAAAAACATGCATTAAGCAATCATGTGCAAATACAAAACATAGATTGGGTTGTGTCATCTGTCATCTGTAGTCGTCTGTCATCTGAATAGGGTTGTGTCTCTTCGTAAGAATATAAGAAGAGAAATGTTCAGCCAACTTTCTAAAAGTGGAACTTTTTACGTATTTTTTGCCATTTTATTCTTATGGCACAATTTTTCTGTTAATAGTATAAAAATATTATATTGAAAAGATAAGATGATAGAGAGTCTATGAGAAATCTTATTTTGAAATAATTTCCTTAGCATTTCTCTAAAAATAAAAACAATGATGAAGGAATGAACAATTTAAAAGATATGCTTAGGAGTAGAGAAGAGAAATGGTAAAGAGGCTTTTCAAAGCGAGACTCTTTATAAACTTTTGACACCTTATATTTTTGTACAATATTTTATACTGTTGACACAAAAATTAACGTTAAATTATGTGGTGGTAAACAGTTCAGGGAGAGTCTTAATTTGAGAGTCTTTGACACATCCTGATCGCGATCAGGGCATACTGGCCGTCACGTGGAAGTGATGTAACCATGTGCACAGTGCGGAAGCTAATAAAATAGTAAGTAAATAGTACGAATAAATAAAAACTAGCATACATAAGGTAATAAAACAAGTGCTAGCGTAAGTGCGACACAGGTTCAGAGCAATAAGCCTAAAGCGGTCCAAAAGAAAACGACGCAACAACAGTACACCCGAAGGTGGTTCTACGCTGGTGATCGTCTGTCAGACATGCCGGAAAAGCTCTCGGGAAAACCCCCAAACGTGCTAGCTAACTAGAACCTGGAGGGGCGCAAAACAAAAGCGTGAGTGGGCAAAAACAAAGCTTTTCGAAAACCATTTAATAAATAAGTTCTAACCCCTCGCCGTAAAACCTGTATACTTCCCAGAAAATAGAATATATATATATATATCCTGCTCGAAAAACGTGTCATGCGATATGCCTCTAAGTAATATGCAATTGCTCAAGAGTATGCCATACCAAGACCTCAAATAAAATGTAGGTGCTCAGGTAATATCACAGCCAAATCAAATAAACTGTCAGCTGGAGTCACCTAATGTGACCTGTACGGCTGAATATAGAGCTCAAATCTCAATCTCACTATCTATACCTGCACACGAGTCGGAACCACCTAAAGTGGTCTGTACGACAGGCCTGGGTGTAATATAAATACGCTCTAGTGCTACGATCACGTGAAGACTGGGCGAATGATCGCGGGTCACCTACGAGTCGGAACCACCTAATGTGGTCTGTACGACAGGACTGTGCACCTAACTTGGATCCAAACTGAGCGTGTGGTGTGAGAGGTGAACATCACGTGAAGGACTGTGCCCAACTCTGGGCGGGAGCACTAACACCGGGGGTGCAGGTTATGAGCTC